TGTTTTTGTTCTTCTTGATCATATTTTTTTTTGTCCTTTCTTTCCCTGCATGCCAAATACATGTATTGAAATATTAATGCATTCTAAATAGAAAGCTGAAACATGAACCACTTAGAAGTTTCTAGAGAGTAGGTTGTTTGTGTGTTTGTTTGTTTTGTTTTTTAATAACTTAATTATCTACCACTGTGTCCGGGCCCATATCTCAAACATAAGAGCATATCCCTAGGGGACAGTGAGTTCTAGATCCTCATGGTGACTGGGGAGATAACATGGAGGGGCAGTGAGTTCTAGATCCTCATGGTGACTGGGGAGATAACATGGGGGGGGGCCAGTGAGTTCTAGATCCTCATGGTGACTGGGAAGATAACATGGGAGGGGCAGTGAGTTCTAGGTCCTCATGGTGACTGGGGAGATTAAAAGGCTTGGGTCACAACAATCTTTAGGGATTTTGTTCATGTTATGAAACAGTCTTGGGCTATCCTAAATTCAGATGATTAGGGCTTTACTCTGGTCACCTGGGTAGCAAAACTCCCTTTAGCCTTTGATGTTTCCTTGAAGGACTACAGCATCAAGCTGGGTTTATTCATTCTGATCTTACAGCAGTAGCTCCTTCTGGCTGAACTGAAATTCTGGAAACAGTCTTTCTGGTAGTTAATACTAACATACTTAGCAGACTCTTCACTTTGAGTGGCTGTTGGATTCATAGTCACACATGTGGAGCAGAAAAATTGGCTGGATTTTTTTTTTTTTTTTTTTTTTTTTTACATAAACACAATGTGCATCTGTTGACATAGAGGACACCACGGATCTTGAACTTGAGATAAAAGTAGGTACTAAACAGTCAAAATGAGGAGCTGAAAGCACTGGGAGGTTGGGTTTGAGTTCCAGCTCTCCACTCACTGCTTCTGTGACCTTGATCCATTTCACTAACCCTTGTCAGCCTGGGATTCTCTGTTCAAAAGAATATGGGAGGTACTGCCTACTTAAACATACAATTGTGCATTTTATGTATCATTTCACAATGATCTGAAATGAAGCACATCTACTTCAGTAGCAAGTGTCTTCGTGGGGGCTATGAGGATCCTTAAAAGACAAATATCTTCCTGTCACTTTTGGAAAACTAGGAATCACCCATAACAAAAAGAAATGGAAAAGGAGCTCCTGAATAGGCATTTGAGACTTGCAGTTTAGTAGTTTTCAAGAATCAAACATTGTTCCTTGTGTGCCAGAACGGCTGAAGATGTCAATTTAGATTAAGAAGTAGGAAGACTGTCTGAGACACTTTTGAGGACAATTTTCAGATAATAAAAATCATACATGCACTCATTGCCTGTTAATGGGAAAAGGCATATGTGATGACAGAAGGCTCTTGAGGATGAGGGACCTCTTCTCACTAAACTGGTGTTATCTTTCATCATAGCAAAGGTATTCAAACGCTTGAGGAGGGTTTACAGGTGTGTTTCATTTGTGTTCATCATAAAGCTAATGCTTTTGTTGCCATTCAGGATGGGTGTCCACCTCTCAGTAATTTGGAAGCTTTGAAACACCTCTGTGCTCCTTCCTCTAATTCCTTTCATTTCCTGAGCCAGTGGCCTTCCTCTTGGGTTTCTAACAGTGCTTATCTGCCCTCTGTATCTAAAGCGTCCAGAAAGATCACTCTGGCATGGCCTATTAGCTTTTATCAGCTCACCCAGTGTTTCATAGGCTTTGATACCTGTAAACAGAACTTAACCACACAGTGCCCAGCCCTGATCAGGTCAGCTATTTGCTTTTGTAAATTGATGTTGCTTACACGAAGGTGACCACCAAATCTGCCCCATTGCTTTCCCTTCCTTCAAAGTGGAAAGGAACCTGGAGATGGTCAATGATGCTAGTGGCTCTGTAGCCACAGTGTCTCTAATTCCTATGGCTTCATTTGATCTTATTAGAGAGAATCATGGCTTACTGCACTCCAAAATATACACTCTCACTCTTTGGATCTTATTTCCGGTGCCTGTGGTTGCCCATCCCAATAGCTACCTGTCATATTTGCCTCCACAGCACTCATTATGATTTATTTGACAAGCATGTTGACTCTTCCCCTTTTTGTATACAAACATGTCTGCGGAAATTCATCAAGCAAACATATTTTTTTCTTTTAAATAACAATAACAGAAATAATAATAGCAACAAATAATCAGTCCCATAAAATGATAATGTATCTGAGGACCCTCTCCCAACACTAAAATGTGTGCCCTTCAGAAACATGATAAGAATCTCAGACTGTTTTTCCTTCCTTTACATGTATACTGTGAGAAATGTAGTCTTGATGAGACTTCCCCAACTCACTTAATATTCTACAGCTTAATTTCCATGAACTTAATAGAGCAGAGGGAGCCACATTTTTGTGAGAGTTAACAATCAGGGTTTAAAATGCCCTGATTTCATGTTAGGCCATACATACTGTCTATTCTTGGATTTCACTCACCAGCTAGGTATCCTTGAACAGTTACTTATACTAAAAGACTCAATTTCTTCATAAATAAAATAGTGCTGATGTTTCCAGCTTAGAGGAATTTCCAAGGACAAAATGAGGCAGATATATGGAATACTTAATAGTAGGTTGGGGCCAATAGCAGCCCAATAGCTATGACTGCTGCTGTCATGTTTGTTAGTGGCAAACTGAGAAAGAAGGACAATAACCTAGAAGGGTTAGCTTAAGCCTGCCCTCTGCTAAGATGGTACTGAAAGCTCCATTGAGAAACATACTGAGAAAGGGACCCTGCAGCAGGGGGTGGGTGGGTGGGTGGGGTCTGGCTTTGAGATACAGGGTTAGGAAACTAATTTTTTGGCTGGGAGGATCATAGTTCCAAGTTTCAGATGTGTTTTTTTCTGTTATTTTTCAGTATGATATGGTATGACCTGTAGGCAGAGTTTTCCTGTCCTGACTGCCTGCTCTCAAATAACTAGCACCCACTTCCCAAATAGCTGAATGGGAGACAATATGCATTATAAATGCTCGGTCAATAGCTCAGGCTTGTTACTCACCAGCTCTTACATTAAATTAACCCATATTTCTTATCTATGCTTTTTACCTCATTTTCTACATGCCCTGCTTCCTCAGCAGCTGGCTGGTGTCTCCTCTGACCCCGCTCTTCTCCCATTCTTCTCCTAGTTTGGTTGTCCTGCCTATCCTTCCTGCCTGGCTACTGGCCAATCAGCTTTTTATTAAACCGATCTGAATGGCAAATCTTCACAGTGTGCAAAAGGATTATTCCACAGCAATGACCATATTCCTTATCTTGTGCAAGTTAGTCACCCCAATATCACCTCAGTTTTATTAATACAATCTTAACATATCTTAATCAATCATGTGCTTGGAAGGAGTGGAGTGTCTGTTTCTCCCTTTCATATCTCCATGTTCCTTTACCCAAAGCATGTAGTCTCCAGGCAGGGCTACTATACCTGCTGTAATAACACAAGTTCCACATAAGTCAATGAAAGACTGAGAAGGGGAATATACACCTCAGTTCTTCCTGCTTACCCCTTTGCCATGTCATCCAGACTTTCAAAGAAACAGAATTCATCTTTAATCACTCCATTTCCTTGACTCCCTTGTATTTCATTGGCCCAGTGGCTTGCTTTATTTATTTATTTATTTATTTATTTATTTATTTATTTAAACTTAAATTTAGCACATGTCAATTACAGCTAGCAAGGTCTGTCATGGTGCTCACAGGAAATTCCATGTGACCCTCTTCATGCTGGGAATGGAGAACATCTGCTGCTTTCATGTTCAGATGCCAGGATTTAGAGGTCAAGGCTGAATGCTTTGGGGATCAGGGCAAGTGTCAGGCTGCAAACAGCATAATGAATGGCAGTTGCTGACTAGCTCCTTTTGCCTGTTCTCAACAGGGAATATTTCCATTCAGTATAATGAGCTGGGACTCAGTGTGTTAAACACATCTAGCTTGGCCAGTGAGGCTGACTATGCCTTTTCCCTCCTGGTTCCGCACTGCATTTTCTTCTTGGAAGAAATTTTATTGAGGTCTTCATTAGGGACACCCAGCAGGGGGAACCCTCTATGAGGGCTGATAGCAGAATGGCTAGAAAAAAAATGACCAGCTTTTGTGCTGGGAGTTGAAGGTTTAAGTTGCCTGAACTGGAAAGGGTCTGAAGAGGAGATTATGTTAAGCAAGTAATGTGTATCAGTAACATGGAATCAAATTATGAGGGTCAGTAGTTTCCTGGCTTTCCCACTGCATTAAATGAAGACATAATATTGCATTTGTGCTGGGTACTTCTCGAGGCCACTCAGTGTCAGCACTGTCCAGTCGTCCATATTTCACAGCATGTCACCTCTAATTTCATGGGATTAGCTGCACGGCTGCTTTGTTAGATGCTCATGATCTTGAGAGTCCTCTGAACTCACAGCAGGGCCATGCAGAGGAGTCATTATTGTGAACACTTCTCTTACATACAAAACTCTTATTGCCATCATTTCACGAAGATAGATGCACCCTACTCTCTTGCTTCCAAAATTTTTTACCACAAACCGCCTAGGGGGAAAACACTGAATATGAAAGATGCACCAGAGGACTCCCTTTAAAAAGCTGTCAATACAGTGGATTAATAGAGAAAGGTATGTGGTCCCCAGTGAGCAGCCTCAGGTTCACTTAGCAACATAGGAGTGATGCTGATCCCATTGAATCAGAAACTCAGGGATAAGCTCAGTGGCCTGTGCTTTAACAAGCCTTCCAGGTGACTGTGAGGTTAGTAGAAGTATGGCAATATCATTCATGGAACAAAGAAAGGGACAGACCTATGTATTTGGGGATGAAGCAATAGACAATTTATACAAAATACCTGCCTCCATTAAATTGCAAAGATACTTTGTTCTGATGAAATGTCCCTCAGAGCCTTCAATCATGGCCAAGACCATGATCCTGCATTCAGCCTTCTATATTCATTGGCAGCAGAGAATTGCTTAATAACTCACAAGTGATGTCTGTGTTTTTCAGAAACATCCCCCTTGCAATCTGCATTTCTATGGCCATCATCACAGTTGGCTATGTGCTAACAAATGTGGCCTATTTTACGACCATCAGTGCTGAGGAGTTGTTGCTATCCAATGCTGTGGCGGTGGTAAGTCCACATTAAAGTCATGCCAGTTCAAATTTAGGCTAAGAAGTTGATGAAGCTTTGTAGTGATCCCTCCAAGAGAACGGGTTTTGGAAGTCAGTGATCTTTTCTTGACCTGAATGATAATATTCTGAAAATTTTGAGCACACCTTACTTAGGGTGTATCATATGATAAAGCTAACCTCTGCCATAGACCCTCTTTGTTTCGATTTTAATCTCCTTGAAAACATTTCCACACATAGCTGTTTAGAACTCCATCAGGGTTTCCTTAGAAGGAGGAGTTATTTCCTCAGCATGTCTCTAAGGATAGGTGGACAGTTACTGAATGTAAATAAATGAGGCTTTGATTTGCAAAGTGCAACCCACTCTGCTCATTTCTCATTATAAACTTTTAAAATATTGACTTGAATCCTCTGTCTAAATTATCATTCTAGAAATTCCAGGAGGACCATGGCTATCTATTTCTAGCATAACCTTGGAATAGTGGTGTTGGGGTACTCATAAATTTGGGAACAACTAGGCAATTAAATGTTAAAGAGATGTTGCTGTAATACTTGAAGATGCCAGTGTGCATTGTAACTCCCTAAGAAATATATACATGTAATTCCAAAGCATCCCCCTGAATTTATTTGACAACAGGATCATACTTGTTTCCAAAGACCATGTTGTGAAGCTGCTTTTCTGAAACACAGGCTTTTCTTTTGCTCAAATATTTTAGCTTTTAAGAAAGAATTCACTCATTAACTCAAAAGCAGGAAGGGTGAAAAAATTAAAAGCGTCCAGTGACATTCCCATTCATGAGTGTCAGTCAGTTCCTTTTTACAATAAGATTACTTCCTATCAGCACCACCCATAGGAGATAATTATCTCATTTTGTGTGAACCAATGTACAAGTTCACTGTATGGAAAGGGCTTTGTCCACTGCCAGGCGTGCTATCGGCCAGTGACGTGTATATCTGGTCAGTTGTCTCACCTTTTTAGGCAAAGGGCAGCACTAATTTTTGGAGAGCATAATGGGGTCTGTTAATTGCATAGCCCCAGCTGCATCAAGGGCAATGAAAAAAAAAAAAATCATACACTAAAAAAAAAAAAAAAAAAAAAAAAAAGTGTATCCTTCATAGAAATGTACAGGGCTGGCTGCACATGTGACAGCCGAGAAAAAAATCTCAGAACTTTTTCTACCTTTTATATTTCCTGTCACTTGTCAGGATTAGAATTGTGTTCTAGTTTTTTACAGGAAACCCTGGACAGCTTCCTAGGGTGGGGGAGGGCCAGCTCTATAAACAGGTTCAGCTGGTATGACTGGACTGGAGTGGGGGCAAGAACTGTGCAGACAGACTCATGCGCATGACATAAATGATTAGTTTGTCTGTTGTCTTGTTTTATCGTCTAGCACCAGGGTTGGCATGTGAAACAAATACCTGTAGCTCTTATGAAGGGATATCTATAGCCCATCATAAATAGGTGGCTTTCTGGGCTAAAGGGCAGGTATTGTGCAGAACCATCTCTGTCTCTAATAGTAGAATTTCCGAATTGAGCCTCTTCCTCTGATCAGAGCCAGAGACGTTATACATCATAGTTGATAAAGATTCAGTAAATGGATCATTGCTTTGAAGGGAGAGAGAAGGCGTCTGTTTAGACCTTTGCCCACAGGTCTGAGACAAGCAATGCCATGGTACCTGCTTCTGATGATTGTCTGTGGAGTCAGTTTGACCCTAACCAAAAAGCAGGATTATAAAACATTCACGTAGCACCAGGCTAATAGAAAGTCAAAGAGCAAGTTTGGCCTAAATTGTTTCATTTTATTCCACTTTCTGGGAAAGCATTAATTTGCTTCGTTCTTTCTTTCCCCAGACCTTCTCCGAGCGGCTGCTGGGAAATTTCTCATTAGCAGTCCCGATCTTTGTTGCCCTCTCCTGCTTCGGCTCCATGAACGGTGGCGTGTTCGCTGTCTCCAGGTGAGGGAGTTCATGTATTTTCAGAAACACATTTCTGTTTTAGAGATTGGATGTGATAAGGATAACTTTTAAAGAGAAAAGCAATAGTGCCTCCGAACCTGTTGTTTTTAAAGGAATATGCAAGTTTGTAGCAGATTCAAGTGAAGCATATTTGCTTTTGTCCAGTAGAGGGCGCTGCGTGTCTACACATTGCTCACTCTGGGCATTTTTTAGAGTCTGTCTACAGAGTCTAATAACAGCTTTTATTTCTGGCGATAAAGTCTTTTGTTTTCCTGAAGGTACCACGAAAAAGAGTAAAGTGGAAAGCAGAAATAGCCACCCTACCATCTGTAACCCTTTTGCTTTGTTTGATGGTATGAAATCTCTTTTGTTTTTTTATGTTACAATCTAACTCAGATAGACATGAATGCCACATGTGTGTACATGTGTGTGCAATGCATGTGTGCTAGATTTGGATTGACACTAGCAATTTAGAATTCACTTTACCACCAGCTCTTCGTGTGTAGGAAATCTCCATTCAGTGAGATGTTGCTATTGCTCTTTCTCAAAGGTAACATATGTCTTGAAATGAGACTTAGGATGAAGTCTGCTCTTTGTCTGCAAGTGACCAGCTAAGAGTGCCAACACGTTGAGTGTGAGAAAGATCATGCATGTTGCTTTGGGGGTTTCAGCATATTTCCTTTTTGAATGATTCATTCTATATAATCAACACCTCCCTTGTTTTTCTCCTTCCAGGTTATTCTATGTTGCCTCCCGTGAAGGGCATCTTCCGGAAATCCTCTCCATGATTCATGTCCACAAGCACACTCCTCTGCCAGCTGTTATTGTTTTGGTAATGCACATTAACAAGTATATGTAGACAGAGCCTCACAAAGCCTTTCGCAAGAGAGGGAATGGGACCAGGCATCCTAACCCAGCACTCAGTTGGTGCTTGGCGTACCATGCTTGGGAGGCCAGAGATTTTGCCCTGGCTTCCTTTGACTCTGTGTTTCTGATGTGGAAGGAATGCCCTGTGTATGCCATGCCTTGCCTCACTTCTCTTTCACCTTGGAAGAAAATTGCACGGTATAGTGGGAAGTGAAGACTGTGGCTTCTTTCCTTGACAGACAACCTCAAAGGAAAGGAAAGGAAAAAGCTCAAAGATGCAGTCTCAACTACTGACCAGAGCTCAGCTGAAAGCACACTGTGCAAGCATTACCTGTTGTCTCCTCCTGGCTCTGTCATAACGAAACACACACAGCAGAATTCAAACCGTAGATAAAACACTATGAAATGGTTCTCTGATTGTAACTGAGACCTGTGAGAGCCAACCTTACTGAGAAGAAAGGAAAAGCCCACATGTAAATTGAAGCTGTGGAATTCACTGTGCTGGGAACGATATTTGTGAAATGTGGGATACAAAAGACTGTAAAAGGTATAAGAGCCCTCAAATACCCATTGGCAATGCTATAGTCATTTTTATTTTAGTAACTCTTGTTTTTTTTTCTCAACTGGAATGTGCTGTTGAGAGTGCCCTAGGAAGCACTGAACATTTTTTTTTTCTACTCTGTACATTTAATTTGTTTCAGAATGTTTCCCTGAAATTTCTTTTTAAAGTGCGCACACACTCTGGGAGAAATCTAGAAGCTAACATCACTTGTGGGAACAGGATGTATTATTCCATGAAGAGGGCTTTCATTGAAGCCTCTGCTATCAGTCAAGCACTCCTTGGCTGTTTCACTGCAGAGGTTTGCGCTGCTACTCTCTAGGCTTCGTTCTTTCCTGGTCTTGAAGGTCACATGCAGTTAGCACAAGGGGAGAGTTGACCAGGGGAAGGAAAATGTCGATGTTTTGCATTAAGGAGCCAAAAGATTCACCTTCACGTGGTTGTTTCTCATGTGTAGATCCCAGGAGCATCTCAGAAATCACCTCAGATCATCCCTTGAGTTTTCTAGTGGAGTCTGCATTTAATATTTATGATTGGCATTTACTGATAATTGATTCTACATTGATTTTGTATGACTGAATGTCTGTTTTTCTCTTTTTATTCTTTGGAAATACATTGTCTATGGTAGGGTGAATCTGTGCTAGCCTTGAAAGCACGAGAACCCTGAGTTTAGTCCCCCCAGAATGACATTTTTAAAAATGCTAACATGGTGGCTTGTGTTCATAATCCCAGTTCTGGGGAGGCAGAGACAGAGAGATCCTTGGAACTCAATGGCCAGAGCAGTGCTAGGCCAATGAGAGACCCCATCTCACTGGGTAGAAGTTACCCAAGGAATAACAGGCTGAGAACAACAGCCTAGTTTGTCCTCTGGCCTCCACATGCATTTATAAACATACCAGCATTTATATACAGATGCATATAGATGAATGCACATTGGCGTGCACACACACACACACACACACACACAGGCATACACACAAAACAAAACAAATCAACAGAAAATACTTTTTCTCCTTGTCAGTGAAAAAAAAAAAAAAAAAAAAAAAAAAAAGGAACTGACAGGGTAACAAAACAGCAGATTCACATTAAGTTCCCACCGAGACAGGTGTGAGGACAGCACCCACCAACTGAATCTTAGTTGCAGCATAAGAACACAACATGGAAAAGAAGTTTGTGGAATCTAGGCTTCCATCGGGATGGTGGCTTCTTGTTATAAATAACCATTGGAAGGACACTTAGAATGTTATTGCTTGGTATTGCCTGCTCCTTTTTAGTTCTGTGCACTTACTTTGTCTCCTCTCCTCCACCACCAGCATCCTTTGACGATGATAATGCTCTTCTCCGGAGACCTCTACAGTCTTCTGAATTTCCTCAGTTTTGCCAGGTGGCTTTTTATGGGGCTGGCAGTTGCTGGGTTGATTTATCTTCGATACAAACGCCCAGATATGCATCGTCCTTTCAAGGTAACCTCAACCATCTTGATGGGTTTACATAAATCTCTCTCCTAATACCTAGACCTCTTTTTGTCATAAATTGATGATGGGCAGGTTGGGGGGGGTCCTGTGGTGTATAAAATATTTAACTCTTACAGGAAGCACTTCCTAATATGCTTCACTTAGGGAAAATATATGTATTTTTAAGTATGAAATAGTGAATTCTGCATCACAGATTTTGTCTGTTCAGAACAGACAGTGTTAAGAATTTTTTCATTGGGTTTTCATGCATGACTTGGTGTGTTTAGAGGGTGGAATACTCCTATCTGTGTTCATGCCCAATTGTTGCCACAGCTGGGCTTTACAGATTAGTAAGTGTTTTAACTTGTTAACATTGTAGTAGTTTCCCCTATATCCTCTAAAGCAATGGTTCTCAACCTGGGGAACCTGGAGGCCTTTCACATGGTTCTCCTAAGACCATTGGAAAATACTGACAATTACATTATCATTCATAACAGTTGCAAAATTACAGTTATGAAGTAGCAATGAAAAAAACCTTATGGTTGGGGTCCCTACAACATGAGGAAGTATATAAAATGGTCTCAGCAATAGGAAGGTCGAAAACCACTGCACTAAAGAAATATGAAATAACAAAGGAAGAGCTTGCTGCCAAGTAGGACAACCATATATTATAACCAGCATTTTCCTTTGGGAGGGCTGGAGAGCAGGCTTGTCATCTCCGCAGCCTCAGCTGTTCATAGGTCAATGCCATCTCCCTGTTCGCTTGCTTTTAAGACAGAGCACTGATAATGCTGCCAGTCATGTTATCTGGATTTGTTTCTAATTGTATTCATTGCCACATGCTTGCAGCATCTTTATTAGCTGTTGACTAGGAGTTGGCCTGTTTTATTCCCAGCAGGGCAGGTCATAGTGTGACTCTCAACAGGAAATCAATATTCATGGAGAGGTGTTAACATGTAGCAAGGCCACTGCTGCTCTTGACTGCATGTGCAAATGGGTTCTAATCATAACTATCAAATAACTATTCTTTTAAGATAAAAAATACAAATTATGAGGACACAACGCTGATGTAAGAATTTGAAGAGACCATCCACTAGGAAACACATTTTCCTAGCCTGAGACTTGGTTCAAACATTCTAAAACAAGTTAAAGTTAAGAAATCACCTCGTGCATGAAAGGACTTTGGGAGCATATTCCCCATGAAGGGATACTCCCTTAGCCTAGAGGCAGGAGGGAGGGCCTAGTCCCTACTTCAAATGACTTGACAGATTTTGATGATCCCTCCTAGAGAAGGCATCACCCTCCCTGTGGAGTGGGGGGGGGGGATTGGTGGGAGGGTAGTCAGGGGGTATGGGAGGGATGGAGGGAGGAAGAGAGGGAGGAGAGGTTTTGCTGTTTAAATAGGTTGGGGCCTCCCAGATGGTCATATAACTACTGTCCTTCATCCCTGGTCTCTTGAACTTGTGTGAAGCTGTTTCTTTTGGCTGTGTTCCAGGTGCCTCTTTTCATCCCAGCATTATTTTCCTTCACCTGCCTCTTCATGGTTGTCCTCTCCCTTTACTCGGACCCATTTAGCACCGGGATCGGCTTCCTTATCACACTGACTGGAGTCCCTGCATATTATCTCTTCATTATATGGGACAAGAAACCCAAGTGGTTCAGGCAATTATCAGGTAAGACTTTTAAGCATCTTGGACCCTGCAAGAGACTGTGTTATAGAAAACCCATAAAGGTGCACACATCCAATGTGCAAACTCTTATTAAAGTTTAAAGCTACATGTGGTACAATTGTTACTAAAGTAAATAACTGCATTTTAATTGTGGCTCTAAGGAGAAAGACAGGCAGGTCATTCAGAGTGCAGCCCCTATTGAATCCTGTTGGGTATTTAATTTGGGTAGTTGTAGTCATGGGCATTTTAGAGAATAGCTTCTTTAGGTAGAGTTTCTCTTTCTTCTTTTCTTCCTTCTTTCCTTCCTTCCTTCCTTCCTTCCTTCCTTTCTTTTTTCAGTACCATAAATGGCCTAAACTTTAGTGACACATGATTATTTTCCTGGGTTGAATGAAGTCTTGTGACTATCATAGAATGAAATTGATCAATGATGTGAGATTTCTTGGTGAGTGAAGTGGTTTCCTGCAAGTGTCTTAAAAATCATGGCTACAATACTACCTTGTTAAGAAAAGGGAGCTGCAGAGGGTTCTGGTAACACCAGAAACCATGAAGAGAATAACAGCGTGCATTTCTTGTGTAGTTTTACATGCTTACACATGTGTGACCATTGTCAGTCCACACAACCATGTGAAGTAGTAGAAGTCATTGTCCCTATTATGTAGACTTTGAGTTATGTCACCAGAGAACTCATGTCACTCTTATAAGTCATGTGGATGTCAGTAAAGAGCAAGGGCTTAAACTCAGCCAGTTGTCTTTGATGAAGCAATGCTGAGCCCTGAGGATGGAGGAGAGAAGGTTGAGGCTGGAGATTGAGAGCAGGACATGGGTGATTTCTTCAGTGATAGTGTTGAGATCATTAGCAGGTACAAGAGGAAGTTAAAAGTACTAAAGGTGAAAAGCTGGCCCAACTGCTAGCCAGTCAAAATGTGGAGTAGAAAATGCTCAAGACCATTTGGTAAGAAGGGTGCTTTGGAAGAGCCTTGGGGTCAGGGAGCTTATAATCCCTTTTCCCTCTTCATCATCTCAGATCAATCTCTAAGGACCCATGTCCAAGATTCTGTTTCCACCAGGTGAGGAAGCCAGGGCCCAGCAAGAGGGAGAATTTAGAAATAGGAATATAGAATGTTAAGCCTTACAGCTAGGATTTGAACTCACATTTGCTGGACATCAATACCCGCTGTGTTAGGTTTTCATCACTATGACAAAATATAAGATCAAGAACAACTTAGAGGAAGAAAAACTTATTTGAACTCATGGCTTCAAAAGTTTCAGCCCACAAATCTTCATGGTTTATTGCCCTTTTCCTTTCTGGGACACTTCAGTCCTGGGATTGGCTTCATCACTGCTCTGCCTCATCTGGTGGTCAGGGAGCACCAGATGAGGCAAAGCTGTAGGTGGGATGCAGAAAGCTGCACAGAACAAGAGACTAGGGTTTAAAAAAATACTGTTTTAAATGCAGTCCTTGATCATCTAATTTTTCCAAATAAACCCAGTTACAAATGACAAATTCAGCTAAATACCCATCAATGGATTAATCCCAGTGACCCTTGACACAGGAAGAGCACATTAGCATAAACAAACTTTTCCTCATTTAAATTCTTTTAAGTCTGGTGTTTTGTGATAGTGACATGGGTTAAGTAATATAAAATATATTTTCAAAACCAGTTATGCTGTTGCTTATGGGTTTGGTGAGATTAGAATACAAATTCCTTTTATTGTTTTCTATTTGGTCTTAATTTTACCATGGCTAATCTTAAAACTCCAAGGGAGGACATGAACTTGAAGCTCTACAGCTATGAAATGTCAACAATATGGTCAACTGAATAAGAACTGCAGAATGGCAGCACAGGGTGATATGCCAAAGTGATAGAGGAAATCTCATAAGGCCCCATCCTCAGATGAAGAGCAAAGGGGAAGCAGTGTCTGATGAGAGAAGGAGGATTGGTCTTCTCCCAGGCCATGCCCCCATCCTAGGTGGCCAGCTCAGTCATACCATCAACACTCAATGTTAACATACATGTATATAAAAAGAACAATTAAAGAAGTCATTAATGTAAAAGAGAGTTGTGACATGGTAGGAGTTGGTGGTTAGAGGAGAAATAATGTACTCATATATGATGTTCCCAAAAATAGAAAACCCAAACTGGAAGTCTAAAGGTTTATGGGAAAATTTTCAACAAGTGAGTGTTGGTAGAAAACAATGAAAAGATTTATTTGTCAATTCTCTAATATGTTTCAAGAACATGATCAGAAACCAGCCACTTCAAAAGCACTGTCATGACTCCTTACCAACTGAATTGGCATTTAGCTACTGCAGATTTTCTACCACTATTTCGACTCCAATTTAACTTTCCAGCTGGAAACATTATTCTGGAAGGAAATGCTGCTATTTAAATTAGGATTTCAAGTATAACAGAAATACACTAATTCCCAGAGTACTTGCATAGTCTCTGTATCCTGCAAAGCTGTATTTATTTTTCTATAGGACATATTTAGTTAGGTTTCCTCTATTGAAGACACTGGACTTTAGATCTGAAGGGAGGAGAAATTTTATTAAAGTATTTAGGATTAGTGTCACTTGGCTTCTTGCTACAGTTTAGGGTTGAGTTGTGAGTCATCCTTGAGATTGAAGTACACAAAGAGGCCTTGATCACAAAAGGAAATCCAACTCCTAGAAGAAAGAGCCATCAACCTTTGAGAGGGAGAGAGCATGGAGTGCAGAAAGGGCAAGTTCACCATTTTGTCTGACCTGGAAGGTTTTCTGTCCTTCCCTGCTCAGTCACCCTGTTCTAGCCAGTCTCTCTGACCTACCACTGGCATGCTAGCAGCCACTCAGTCATTTAGATCCAGCAATTTCATACATAATCTTTCTTTGTTGCCATTCTGCTCATGTAATTTTGGAGGCTTTGCTATTTTTTCTGCCTCTAATGTTGTTTTGAACATCTCCAAGGCCACTGACTTTAGTGCCAGCCATTTGTGGAATGAACTGTGGTGGAGGAGACCCACAGTGGTGGTTCGGTTCTTGGGGATGCTCTGACTTCTTGCCAGGGACACAGCTGTTCTGCTTTAAACTGTAATCATGACCACGAGACTTTGTCTTTATAGACGGCTTGAAAGGGACTAGGGAAAAACAACAGTCTTCTATAATTCTGTTTGATTTTCCTCTTAAGCGTGTTCTTGTAGTAAAATAAAGAAAATTCATAATACTTATTTCTACAGTAGTAACAAATATTTTTGTAGCCGTTGGCCAAAACAAACCACACAGAGACAAAGAAAGAGCATCTCGCAGCACTACTGGACCCTTCCTCTAAAGACATAATTCCTGTTAGAGAGAAAACCCCGTGTGAGCTTGGAGACAGGAGAGCCCTGCTTGAAGCAGTTTGTTCAGTAGTCTAACATCATGTCGCTTTGCTTTGTCTAGTTTTTATGTTATGCTTTTGTTTTTTTAATCTTAATACATGTGAATGGATTATCCCCGGGAAAATGTGACAGTCTAACAAAATGTACCTGGCCAGGACTGTTTCCAGAATGTATAACCAGACATCATTTGGAAACTGGTGCAAGGCTAGTTGGCACAAATTAGCTAGGGAGTATTCCTAACCTCTTAGCCCAAGGATGTGAGATTTCTAGAGATTTGATGAATACCTCTGGCCACAGGATGCCAGTGTTGAACCACTTTTCTGGTTATAGCATCTCAATAGCTAGAAGGAAGCACTCTCTTAAGGGGGTGGTCAGACACGCAGAACGATCCCCCGGTCTGGAAGAGGGCAGTTAATTCTTTTGCTTGATTGTTTATATGGTTTATTTATCTGCAGACAGGCAAACTTCCCAGGGGAGAAGAAGGGAAAAAATTCCACCTGACATGTACAGTTACACAGAGGTACTAGTACGGCCCTGGAAACTCAGGCCAGGGTTAGTGGTAGTCACTGAACTTGGTAGCATCTAGTTATCCATCCAACCTGACCACAGCTGAGGTCTAGTAGACTGACTAGCAGCCAGCCCCTCTTGCTCAGGTAGAGATAGTGAGCCAGATATATTTAAATAAAACCTTTAATTGTAAAAACAAGCAAATGAAAAAACAACTCTGGCTGACATGAGCAGAATGCCTACAATCTATCTCTGTAGACAGCAGGCTTACAACTCCAGAGCCTAAAAATATGTGTTTCCCAAAGTATATCAAGATAGCTTCATCTGGGACAGGCCATTGAAAGCTGGTTAATGCATCTGCAGATGTTCCCCAAAGGTTAGAGTGCACCTTTTTCATTCATTAAGTTTGCCTATATTTATTAGGAGCTCAGAAGATATTCCACCTGATAAATGTCATGCATGTGAAAGTATTTGAAAACCCTTCTTTAAGGAAACATATTGTTATTTTTAATATAAGTGCTGTGGCAGGTTGGCTTTGAACTGCTTCCCTAGCTCACTCAATCTTGACTGCTGCTCCCCTGTGGATACCAGGTGTGATGAGGTGAGTGAGATTTTGCCAAGTCAGTTGTTGTTCCAGTTTATTTCAGGAGTAGCAAGGGGACATGAAAAATAAAACTGAAAGCACGGCATTGCTTTAAGTACTATAGGCTGTATTTATGGAAAACTCCAGCTGTAGGTCATTGGCTCGCCTTTGTTTAGAGAGGCAGTGATATTGATTTATTATCATGTGGCCACTAATCTTTCTGTGAGTGTGAATAGAATATATGGCACTCCAAAGCCAAATGCTCTGCAGTGTTTCTAGAAGCTTCCTTGCCTCCACTGAGCAACCGTGCTAGACCCACTGTTATAGGACAGACAGCTTGGCTTCTTGTCTGCCTAGAAAAATCAGCTTCTCCATAATGTTGATAGATAATTTCCCCATAAGTCTAGTTTCATAGAATAATTTTCTCATGTCCTTATCTGCAAATATGGGGTTTGATTGTTGCTCTCATGGCAGAGTGGACTGTTAAAAAAATATAGTTTGTTTAAGGCTCATATAAGGTTTAATTAATTTGAAAATACTATACATAAACCCTTTACAACAAACACAGGATAAACAAAATAAATAAATAATGTGCCCAGAAAACTTCCTGAGGGAATATGACTGTATTTGTTACTTTTCTTTATGCTGTTACAACATATCTGAGAAGAGGCAACTTAAGGGAGGTGGGGTTGCTCTGGCTCACAGTTTGAGTGACTATAGCCCATTGTGGCAGAAAAGGCATGTCTGTGGGGGTTTCTGAGTGGCTAGTCACACTATCTGCAGTGAGGGGGCAGAAACCATGTAACAACCCATAGAAAGTAAGGCTGGGTTGTAGAGTCTCTGTGCCAGCCCTCACATTCTTCAGTGAAGCTGCACCCCTTAAATCTTCCATAGCCTTCCTAAATAGTACCAGCAGATGGGGACCAACTGTTCAAATACATGAGCCTCTGGGGGACATTTAGCACTGAAACCACAAGATCAGAGAGTGAAAAATGAAAATAGCTTTTTACAATATTTGCAAGGCCTGTTAGAATGAGTCATCAGAAAAGGGAAATGATTTGCTTCTGAACCTTTAAAAGGACAGAACCTGGGGTTTCTAAGATTAGGAGACGTCTAAAGTTGTTCTATGGGGGTTGGTGACAATGAGCAAATAAGAATGTCCCTGAAACTATCACCACAGAGCTCAGTGCTCTAGGGCCATGGGTAAAAAGTGTCTATAGAACTAATACAACTCAGGGGTTCTTATATTTTAGTGTCTGTTACAGTGACCTCTTTCTGGGTTAAACCATCAGCTTCTAAATTGGAGGCTAAGGATTAAAATTGAAACAAATTTGGAATTGTGGACAACGATTAATGTAAATGTTCTAATGACCAGACTTTAATAACCCAGATTAGTCCAAGTTTCTCATTCTATTTATGAGACAGACAAGGCTTGATAAACATGGTAATTTAGTCAACAATACTACAAATTAGATACTGGAAATAATATTCTTCTCCCAACTGTCCTGAGAAATTGGTTGTCATCTCCTTGTGAAAAAAGAACAAACCCATTTTGAGCTGAACATGAAGCATATTTGTAAACATTTACTTGTATCTTGGTCCCATTGCCTCAAAATATTTTCAGCCTCTTTGTTCATAAATAAATGTTCTTATTTGAATGCAAAATATTAATATATTCTTACTGAGGAAGCATCATGGGAAGTTGTTTAAGTGACAAGTAAATTAATTGAGCATGATAAGATTGTAATGAAGTAAATAATTCTTGAATGTGCACTACAAAGAAGGTGGTGGGCACTCTCAGTATTCATCTCCAAATAATTCACATTTTGCTATTTTTATGCTGCTCTGATTTTCATGCATTTTAATCTCTCCTTATTTCTTTGTAGACAGAATAACCAGAACATTACAGATAATACTAGAAGTTGTGCCAGAAGACTCTAAAGAATTATGAACACCATGCATCAAAATCTTGGCCATCTGCCCAGGACTGAGATACAAAATGGATCTTTATTTCAAGAAATCACAACTTTGGTGATGGACTAAAAGAACCGGTCATTTCTATTAATTTCTTCTAGTGTATTCAAACTAATTTCTGAGCAGTTTACTGATAATTCAATGTATTTACAGAAAGCTAATATGCAGATCATACAGTGAGGCAAGTCTGGTGTTTACCCGTTGAGGTAAAAGAAAAAGACAAAGGGCATCACTGGAAACTGGGGTGTGATTCTCTGCAACATGTCTTATGACTGAGAATCTTCAAATAGAAGACCAAAGTGTTTTCTGTAAACATAGCTTTACCTATTGGGACATCTTTACTGTGAAAAGTGTTTTCTATTTTCCTGAAAAAAAAAAAAAAAAAAAAAAAAAGAAAGAAGAAGTCATAAGTCATTATTGTGGCAAAGGGCCAGAAATAACTCTATATTACATAGATAGACCTTGGATTGTTTTTTCCTTTAGTGACCAACATGGCTGTCACTTATCTTTCAATGGTTTATACTCAGAGCATCAGAACAAAAGATGGGGAGTAGCGTGTGTGTGTGTGTGTGTGTGTGTACATTGGGATTGAACTCAGGGCTTTGAAAAAGTCAGGCAAGCACTCTACCATTGAGCTACAAACACCAACCTTAACTTTCTTGAATGCATTAAAGAAGCATTTCTTGAGGCTATTATTTATGAGGCAATCCTAGGAATAACAATCATGGAGAATTTGTTAGGTTAAATATGATTTCACTTATTATTAGGAAGTTTGGTGTTTAGAATGTCACTTTGTTTCCATCCCGGTTCTTTAGTTCTAGAAAATGTGTACTTTTTGGTATTACATCCATAGATGAACCACCTCTCTGGAAATTTTAATCACTACAATACAATATCAACCTGGGAGAAATTGTCCATGAAACTCTAAATATGGGGCTTTATCTCTATAATCACATTCATATGCAGTGTTAGTAATTCTAATCACTTGTCCTTTGTGGCTATTTTTACATGGTGATGACTTTTGACAGTGTGTGCATTCCCTATACGGTTCTGTTAAAATATGTCTCTGGATAAAACTATCTGGATCAATTAGGAAAAGCACAGATTTACATAAAAACTATGGAAGAAATGTCACTGCTTAGTAAGACATTCAACTGATCTCTTAAAACATTTCTACTTCTAAATCTAGGCTTTTTCGATCATTTCTTCACTTTAGTTATAATTCACTTGCAAAAGAGGTAACTGTGAACAAACCTGTTGCAAGGGGAGTCTTCTGTGTGTGTGGGTTCAGGTGGATGATGCATGGTCAGGGTTAGAGAACACGGGGCAATTTTCAACCGAGATCAATGTAATGATGGGGTTTTTAAACCCTTATTTCTAACACCCAAAGATTAAATGCTCAGCACGGCTACCATTAAGTTCCATTATTTACATTCTGACCACTTCAAATTATCCTAATTAATAAAACCATTGAGTTCATAGCTAATTGCCCAAAGTACAAATGGTTTTAATCCAGAACAATTTACCAATTCAGCATTTTAAAGCATCAGTAACATTTACTATATATTCAAAATTGACTTTTTTTTTTTCCAAAAGGCCAAACCAAGTGTTTATTTCCCTAAGTGAACTTGTAACATTCCTTCTGTTTTTACTAACATGGGCTTTCCAAAACCTATGTCTAGTTTCTAGAACTAAAATAGTGTTACTTTGTTGACATCTATCTCTAGCAGATGTTGCTGGAGGTACATATTTTTATATGTTAATTTTACACCAGACCTATAAGATTTATCATGGCAGAGTCCTCTTCTTACCTATGAGATGGAGTAAAGCCATGGAGAGGGTCCTGCTAGTCTTGGTTCTTCCTGAGGCTAATGTGCTCTCTGGCTAGTTGGTCTCATTGTGTTATCTACTTGTCTTTTATTGTGCAAGCTAGTCAGGGTACACTTTATCATTCCTCCTTTCTTTTCAAAGATTCTTTTTGTAGTATTAAATTTATAATGCTGTTGCAATACATTTTAGCCGAGCATAAAAAAAATCAATATTTCTTTAATAACTGTGTATGGAGTTGCATTTTGTCTTATTTTGAAGTTATATTCTAAGAGAACACAGCATTTCTTTAATCATGGAATTCATGTTCATAATTGTTTTAGTGAGAACTTGCAAAACTGACTTTTTACTTAGAAATCCTCCTGCACACTTGTAATGTGTGTTTTCATACATTGTAAAATTTTTCTCATATTTTGAATTATGTGTATATACACATGTGATTACATGTTTTAATGTTTGTTCTGGTATAATATTTGAATGTTTATATAAAATTATTATTTGATTACTATAATGTAAAGCTAGAGAAGCAGCCTAAACAGTTTAAGATATACAGTATTCTATTTTCAAATATTCTTTGTTTAGTATACAAAGCCTTGAACATGCAATTTTAAAAGCATCACAATTTCCAAAATTTAGGTACAATTTTATTCTCCTCACACAATTATATTTCCACTGATTGACATTCTAACCGTGCTGTTTTGTCTCTTTTAAAGCATTCAATTCTCACTTTGATTTCAAGTGGCTCTTATAAATGGTGGGTTTGCTTAGCTGGCATGGGGACCAGCATTTGTCTTTCTTCAGGAGTTTGACCATTTGTCCTAGCAAACATGGCTGGGTCCAGTTCCATTTGTAAGATCACAGGCGCACAACCACAGTCTGTGTGTGTTTGCCCTCCCTGCCAACTCTTCTCCCCCGCCTCCCACCCCTATCTCTGTGGGCACAGGGTCTGGCCAGCTGACAAGGTTAGGATCCCAGTGCTCTGACATCTCTGTAACACTAGAGTATGCATTTAGAAACATTTTTTGTTTTTCCAGATTGCCTTATGTGTCTGCTTAAATTGTTTCCTCAACTGCCATTGGAACAGCAACAGATGGTTTTCATGAAGACAATTATGTAGCAGAAGTCCTCATAAGCTAGGATCAGCCTTTGGCAAACTCACTGTTTTCTCTCAATTTACAGGTGAATGAGATGCCGAGAAAGTGAGCATCTCTCACTTTTGTGGATGCCTTGTAACTGAGGTGTGAAAAGACAACTCAGGGTCAGGTTAACAGGAAGTACAGGGAGCCTGTGATTAGCAGTAACCACATTTCACTGTCCTACAACAAAGTCAGAAACATCAAAGCTTGTCTGTTGAATGTAAATGAGTATCCTGAAAAGCTAATTAAGTGGGAGCTTTGGTCTCTCTAATGCACCCAAGCTCCTTCCAAGGTCCCAGTGCTACTTTAGAAAGATTGTGTTTTTAAAAATGAAGATCCAGGATTGGGGCCAGAGAGATGGCTCAGCTTCTGGGAACACTTACTGCTCCTGCAGAAGACCTGAGTTCAATTCCCATCACCCACAAGGTATCTCACAACCTTGCGTCACTACAGTTCCTGAGGCTCAAATACCCTCTTCTGACATCCGTGTGCACAAGGGATGCACACAGTGCTCAGACATAGATGCAGACAAAATATTCATATATTTAAATATATGTAAATTTTAAAGACCAGGAAATCGCACATACACTGTGGTATCCACATTTTTAATGAATAAAATAAAAATCGTGCCTATTTTTTCATTAAAAATAGTCATAGAATATTTGTAAACACATTTTAAAATATTTAAATGCTACATTAATTGAAATGTACACATAAAAATTCTATTAGTGGCTTTCTCATAGGGTCTATGTGGTATGGTTTCAATTGTGTTTTGTTGTGAGTAACCAAAAAGCAATGAATGAAGTTTTATTTGAAGCTCTTTTTCTTATTTTGGAAAGAAATATATTTGATATTCCAATTAAAATGAGTCAAAACACTCTTGTTTTATTTGAATATCATGTGCTTCATGATAGAGAGCAGGATGGTGTTTTATGTCCCTAATCAATCAAGCCAGGAATTAAGTCATGGCATTATGTAATGGCAAGAAGCTCATAGAGGATATAAATTAGAGAAGATAATGAGTCATTTTCATAACTTCTGTTTACATTATATATGGATAAAAGTACTGTCTACATATGGAGTTCAGCTAAATTTTCCCATAAATAGTATTTCAAAAATCTATCTCAATATATTTAATAGTTGAAAATGTGTGACCTCTAGGTAGGCCACTGATTATTAGTACTATACTTTAAAATAGATGACTGAACAGCCCATTTTTATAAACAATCCTTTATTTTATCAAATTTTAAAATTATTTCTATTTAGAAATAAATGCTCTGTTTTCATGTCACATATTGGTGCAAACCACATAGAAAGTTTGACATCTCTTTGTTTTATGAGGCACTGCCCTTCTTTACCCCTCCCCCAACTCATGGCAATACTGTTACTTTTTTTCTTTTCTTAAAACTGTTTCTGTTTAATTTACATAAAGTAACAGTTCTGTGTTTCAATTTTGAAACTATGCCTTGAAGATGATAACTATAGAAAGATTTTACTTCTCAAGATTTTCTTAGTGAAAAAAATCTTTCACTTTTATTTAATTTCTTGGGATCACCCCCTGTTCTTCCTTCTTTCCACTTGGCTAGAAATACAGAGGATGGATTCAGCCTCCAAACAGCTGCCTGCTATGTGTGTATTTCAGCCTATTTTGATCAAAGGAACTTTTATAGTATCAGTAACTGCCCACACAGTTTTATAGATAATACTTCCAAAGAAATAGTGATGCATTAAGTGTCTGAGTGCCACTTGGATAGCTGCTGCCACTCAACAGTAAACACACGGCTCATTTTAGCATACACACGACTGATTTTTAAACTGAATCGATTATTATTTGGAAGACCTGCTTGCTACATCCTTGTTACCTCTTGATGAAGCCACTAAAAGCAAAGTTGAAGGCCATGGGTAGAAGGAGAAGAGTAAGGCATAGTTACCTCTTTGCAGCAATAACTGTATTTTAAGCACTTCCCATGATAGTAATTTGCAAAGCTTCTTGTGGGAAAATGAGTTAGATTCTTGTATGTTACAGCTCTATGTGGGTGTTCTTGGTCTGACTAAAAGGCACATTTTGAAGGCCTCACATGTTTTTACTAGTGACCCTTAGTAGTAGACTCAGAACTACAGTCATATCTTCCTAGGAGACAAGACGTTATGAGTTCCAGCTCATAGGATTGAAGGATCTTGTTTCAAAGAATTTACAAATTAATCTTTTCCTAAAATTTTGCCATTATTCTACATACTAAATAATATAATCAAATA